ACAAAGTTGAAGGAATCAATATTGAGCTTATATCAGACATTTCACTTATGACTTCGATAAATATTTTAAGGTTGTCAACCCTGGGAGAGAATGCCAAATAGTGGGACGAAATGGTCAACCCCATTCTGTCCCAATGATGGGTAATGGGTTGATCGTAATGATAAGATACATACATTGTACCATACAATTCATAAACAAAGACATATTTTAACATCATCCATATGAATATTATTTACGCTTATGACATATTAATGGTGTTTTAACAACTGTAACCGAAGCACAAATGTTGTAAAAAAAATAAAGAGCCAGCATACTAATTGTTCTGAGAACACTCCGTTATATCGCCGACAGCTGTATGAAGAGAAAAACAAAATAAATCCTGCAGCCCGGACGATGGCGATGACCAGCGTTTGTGAATCATGAGATGCGGATAATGACATCATCTGCGACATTCCAACGAGCTACTCCAATGTCCATACACGTAGAGATTCTCCAATATCCGGAATTATCGGTTATTCGGTAAAGATCGATTGCAGAGGACCGATTTTGTGAAACTACGCAGATGGAACTCAGAGAGAGCTATGTCATTTGTATTTTATTATATTGGAATTCAAATCGTTTTTGATATTGAAAATGGAAACTATACCTATTATTTTAGAAATATAGCTTTAGAACTTTGTCCATGGATTTCATTATATAAATTTCAATAAAAAATATAGCCTATATGTTATTCTGAAAGATGATTCTAGAGATTCTAGAAATTTGAGCAATAAACAATTTAAAAGTAAATTATTTAGACAATAACTAAATAAATGTTATTACGAGTTTGTTTGCAAACTTACATCCGAAGTCATCCCTTTTAAGTTTTATTTTTTAGTGTTAAAATAGCTCGTCATCGTGTCCAGGGACTTGTCTATCTATGTGCAAAAATATATCATAATCAACTTAGCAGTTTAGGCGTTAATGTGAAACAAACTTTATAATATACTAGCTGTACTCCCAACAGGTCCACGTAGAATTTAACTTTATTTTTTAAAATTAAAGTAGCCTACGTTATTTCTTATGATATCAGCTAGCTGATAAAAAGAGTCCCGTCAAAATCGGTCCAGTCGTTTCAGAGATTAGTCGGAACAAACAGACAGACAGACAAAAATTGTAAAAAATGTTAGTTTGGTGTATGTACCGTATTTTTATTCATATGCATGTAGTAAAAAATGGTTATTTCAATATTACAAACAGTCACTCCATTTTTATTTATATGTATAGATAATATAACTCCGTGAATAATTCGTCCATTTTTATGACTAATATAATTTTCTTTTGTTTGTATTACAAGAAATGATGTTTGATATATTTATATTTCAAATCATATACATATTTCAGATAGGTCATGACATACGCACCCACACATAGATTTTATTTATGTAAACAATTTTACACAATTAGCCACATTTAAATACCCCTTGACGGCCTCAGTGGTCAAGCGGCTTAGTACACCGCTTTAATTCCGATGGTCGCGGGTTCTATCCTCGTACAGTGCAAACATTTGTATTCATGCGTATGATTGTTTATATCGGTCTTGGTGCTTTCTATGTTTAATAAGTTATTACAAAAAAAAAATTAAGTTTTATTTATTTATATCAGCTATGTTTGTGGGACTAGATGGCACTGTGTTAATTGTCCAGGTTAACAGCATAACACAAGCGTATATACTGCTTACCGTTTTGAAATATGTTATTACAAAAAAATCTAGTTTTTTTTATTTCTATGGTCTAGTACCCATCTGCTTACCGTGGGACTAGATGGCGCTCTGTTAATTGTCCAGGTTAACAGCATAAACAGAGACAACATTTTTTTAATTCTTTTTTTGATGTAAGTACCGTATATACTTGTAGTATAGCCGTTTTGAAATTAACTAAGTTGTAATTTCCGCGATATGTATATTGGCCTAAGCGCTTCAAATGTGGACTAGAAAGATGCATAAAATGATAGGCGATAGGTGTGGTTACTTATCTGTAGCATTATATTATAATATCTACGTGTACATTAGCTCTGACACGCATACAAACTGACGTCACTCGCCCATATCTCCAAATGCAGCTGATAGTTGCGGCAACGCGTAAATAGACTGAATCTGAGCAAACAAAATAACATAATATGTTCATTATGTAGCGTAGAATAATCTCATTGCTAAAGGAATAGCTGATAAACCGAAAAACAGGCAAAAAGGGCAAAATTGGTAGTCTTTTGTGTTCCCGGAGAAATACAACCACAGATTCTACAAGTCTATGGTGAATAGATATCTTCTGGGTAAGCGCGCTACATCCAAGTCTTGCCATCAATTACCATCACATGAGGTAAGACCAAGCGCAAATCCATTATTAATAATAAAAAAAAGAGTCTTGTATAATTACATTAATACCTGAAGCAAAAACTTTGTACCTCTTTTAACGAAAATTGCGCGGACGTAGGTGTATGAAATGCCCCGGCTTCGCACGAGTGTACATGCATCATACATATAAAACTTCCTAATGAATCACTCTATCTATTGCTAAAAACTGCATTAAAATCTGTTGCGTAGTTTAAAAGATATAGCGCGAGTTGCGTACTGTACACCTCCCAAGCGAACACGTCATACACCGCTTATGCATGTACCATCAAGGTCCACCGCCCCTGTAGTGCGTATTCTACGCAATTTTAAAAATTTTATACAATTTTAAATATGTAAAGATCTCTTATATCAGTAATAATTACCTATTATATCATAAATAGATAACATAAATGGCTGAGGAATAGACATCATAGTAATTGGATTTATAGTATGATAATTCTGACTGTAGTGCAATTTTGTTTTTGTGTTATTTTTGTTGGGTATTGAAATATATTGTTTAAGTTTGTATAAAATAAGACGTTTAAATGTAACATGTAAAATTATAATCATATATAGTTATGTATGTAATGGTAGCAGGGATACATAATAAACTATCGGTTGAACAGTCTGACGTGTGCTGCTTCCCATATTACGCGGTCTAGGTGAAGCATCGGAATGTATTCCTGTTATCTTTTGTGTGAAGTCCGTCACTTTGTTAAATTTTTTTACTGATATTGTGAAACCTATTATTAGCTATACTATTGTTTTGTACTTTCTGTTTTTATGTATTGTGTATGCTGTTGGCAAATAAATAAATAAATAAATATTTTACTTTTTTTTAAAAAATTATGTATGGTAAAAATATAGAATGCTAATATTTTATTAAAATTATGGGTAAAATATAGATGAAATTAATAAAAAAATTATTATCATTACAAGTATTTATAATCTTCGACAGTAGATCCTTAATAATGTAACATATTTGTAATTTACTAGCTATTCGCCCTGACTTCGCCCGGGTGTACATATATGTATATAAATCTTTTAGAATAATTTTATCTATTAAAAACCGCTTCAAAATCCATTGCTTAGTTTTAAAGATTTACATACATTTGCATACATAGGGACGGACAGACAGCGCCAGCGACTTTGTTTTATACTATGTAATGATATTAATTATCGACGAATAGAATATCGACCATTGGACTACCACAAGTTTATATTAAAGTACAAAATTAAATAAATTAGAACTTTATTGACAAATGAGGATCGTGACCACAGATAACATAATATTACATAATCGTGACCAATTAACCAGTAATTAACCATGACGATCGTATAGGAACCGCATGGAGATTGTATTGATTGAGTATATATTGTGATAGATGAAAGGAAGGCTATGATAGCACTCTACATCTCTAACTTCACGGCTAGGTCAAGGAGAAATATTAATATAACAAAAATTAATCGCATGAAACCTGTAGTGGTCCTAAAATAGTGCATATTTAGTACAAAAAAAGTCAGTTTTTAAATTGTGTAGACAAATAAAAATAAAGATCCAGCCATGATGAATTTTCGCATTTTTGTAAACTATAATTTTATTCATAAAAGAAATGATTGCTCTACGCATTCGAAATTCAAAATATCAAAGTTAGTTATTTTATAATGGTATTCAATATTTTTGTAAAAAATAGTTTCATTTCATTCATAAAACAAATTCTACGCATTCCAAATTCAAAATTTGAAAGAGGTTATATTATTATACAACGAGTCTTGACATTATTTGGCAGTTCTATTTTTAAATTATCAGTTAACAGACCAAATTATCTAGTCTATGAATTTTAAGCATTTATTACTTGTTCGGTTTTACTTGATGCCGCGTCAAAAACGTAAAACGACTGTCGGCAATAGATATAAATAAGTAAGATTAGTTAAGCCCTTATCTTGGTTATTAAAATACGTTGATGTAATAGGATTAGGGCTATTATCTATATAGTTCATTGTCATTGTGGTCAAGACAGAAATGATATCGTTACCATATAATTTACTATTTATATTTTCAATTCGTCAAGGATACATTGTTACCTAAAATAAACAATTGAGATCTAGTCTGGATTGTTCCTTTGAAAAGTAAACAGAATAAAACAGCAATATCAGTTATCTCTTACATTGACTACGAATGCGATTAAACTGTTTCTAGTGTACAAAATGGAATAGTTAACTCTAGTGAGCGAAACGATTCATGTCCTTTTGAACTTGATCAATCGATTGGATTGATCCAATGTCATTGGATCGGAATTAGTATTACAGATCAGTCCGATTAAATAATCATCATAATTTTTTTATATGTATGTATTTTATTTATTTAGACGTATTTTATTTATATATACTGTAACTATTTGGATGTATTTCGTATTGGCATGTTATCTAATTCTATATTTTGAACTGCGCCTCCTACCTTTCCTTTACACAAAGCTTCGATCTCCCAGGTGGTCTATAAAAGATGCTTTAAGCGATAAGGCCGCCTTTTTGTGTAGCATATTTATATTAAGTTTTTTTTAAATACTTTTAGTGTACAATGAAATATTACATTATTATTAGTATGTATTAAATATTATTTTTGTTATCTGTCCAGGAATCGCCGGAGGTCCGCATGGCGCTCCCTCTGCCGCCTCGGGCGCCCGACCCTGCAGCGCTCGCCGCCTACTGGAATGAATATGAGGAGTACCTCTGCAGGCAGAACAGCTCCGTCCAGCATCTGGATGACGAGGACAACCACTACGAAGGTAGGTTTTATATTAATTTCAAGGTCTTCAATTACTCTACCACCATACAGGTAATTCAGTATTACCACAGATAACATAATATTACATATTACATAAGTTTCTATGTCTTCTTCAATTACTCTGTCTAATATTTAAGTACTAAATGTATTGCATTATAAATTTAACAATTTTATTTTATTTAATTTACAACAAAAAATATTTGTATATAAAATAATCTATACTAATGGACTACCTACTAATATGGGCCTCGAATTCACCCGGGTGTAGTCAGATTCTACTGTTTATCGTCATCATAATTATGTGCGTGACATAATAAGGGGAACAGAAAAAGTAGAATCATTCTTTATAAGATACCATGTTAGGTCGACCTCCACGCGATCCCCCCTAGAAACTATAGTGGTTAATTTCCGGTAATTTCGTTATGAATTGGGCTGAATGATCTATGTATATATGTATCAGTTATCTAGTACCCATAACAAATGCTCTACCTAGCTTAACTTGGGTCTAGATGGCTCTGTGTGGATTGTCCTGAGATTATTATTATTGTTATTATAAAAGTATTGACTGTCTGTCTGTGTGTTTATGCTAATATCTGAAATGGCTGGAACGTCTTTAACTAGACTTTCGCTCGCAGATAGGTAATGTTACAAGGAGTAACTTAGGCTAATTTAGTTATAAGATTTTTTAATAAAAAAATATGCTAGAGATTTTAAATAATGGAAGACTATTTATAATAGCTACAATTTATCAACCTGTGTGAACATGTTATTTGTTTATGTGAAAAAATTCTAAATGTCAAGCATCAAGTGGGAAGGTAACAATTATAGGGGTGAATTTTTTCCCACGATTTGTCTCGCATCGCTAAACTGGGAACCAAGTGCCGCATTCTATTATCTATGTAGTTGCTATAAAAGTAGTTGTAACATCGTGTGTATCTTCTCCGATCGATCCCCCGTCCATTTCCAACGGGGATCGAAATTACGACGGCCTCAGACGAGGATCGAACCGAAAGTCGGGAGTAAGGTTAGTTGCTACGTTTACGATGTCAAAATACCTACTAATTATTTGAAATATTGTATTGTGATCGTAAATAGTGAATTTCGTGTCGTGAGACTTATAATATACTATAATACTAGCTGTACCCGCGAATTCGTCCGCGTGGAATTTAACTTTATTCTTCTAAAATAAAAGTAGCGAAAGTTTGTGAGTATGGATGTGTGTTACTCTTTCACTCCAAAACTAATGTACGGATTTTGATGAAACTGTACACTAATATAGCTTATGCATCAGAATAACACATAGGCTATATTTTTTACTAGCTGTACACGCGACTTCGTCCGCGTGGAATTTAACTTTATTTTTCTAAAACAAAAGTAGCTTAATTTTAAACTTGACGCGGTCATTATTTATACGTATAATTAGTAAAAATCACGGGATCTTACCACGTTTTATATTTATTTACTGAGTTCCAGTCTACCCGTGATCATGGTGGTTGAAACACTACCGAAATATCGGGAACTCAGTAAATAAATATAAAACGTGGTAAGATCCCGTGATTTTTACTAATTATACGTAAAAGTAGCTTAAGTTACTCCTTATTATATCAGCTGCCTGCCAAAAAGTCCCGTCGTCGAAATCGGTCCAGCCATTTCAGAGATCATCATCAGCCGGAACAACATTGTTCTTTGTTATTTTGGTGTATGTACCGTATTTATATTGATATGCATGTAGTAAAAAACAGTTATTTCAATATTACAAACAGACGCTCCAATTTTAGTTATATGTAATAGATATATTACGTAATCACATTGATTTCTTTTATGTATCCACAACCAGTATCATATTTAAATATTTAATAAATTATGTGAATTGATATTATAATTTTATTTGATTAATAAACGCAATTTAGTGTCCATTTGACGTGTTAGAATAATAGCGATGTTGATTTATTACAGACCTACATTTTTAAGACTCTTTGTAATAGCGATAAAACATAGTCACGCACAGATCTAATCTATGTAGTCTAACATAGATTAGGCTAGATAGATTATCCTCTATCTATGTCCTAATCTGCATAATTATCTGTACCACTAAAAGTTGAAATTAAACATTCCCTAATTGCATATAAAGCGTTGGTTTTTATTGTTTAAGACCGTTGAAAATAGTTTATGGCTCATAAAATGTACAATATTTTTAATGTCCGACGCAGAAAACAGTATTATAATGATTTATCTGCTTGTCTGTCTATATCATAGTAACTTCTAAAGTAGTGAATCGATATGATGTGGTTTTTTTTGTTTGTATTTAAACAGAAGTGGTCGAGATTGCTTAGACTCATGTGTTTGTCAGTGGCATCGTAGGTCCTAAATGAATTGACTGATTACAGTACGTTTATGTTTGTTTGAAAGCTGAAATAATCTAAATAGTTCTTAGCCTCAATATATATTATATATGTTTAGGCGCATATACGTCATCAGCTCTTGTTAGCTGCACGCATAATGGGTTTCTTTTTTGGTCTTTTTCGTGTCGATTTAATTCAATTTTTATATTACAATGTTAAGTTTAGTAAAGAATGGGTTATCCTCCACACAAGGAAATTATTAAATGAGGATATAGTCGCAAATGTGTGAACTTATTACTCGGTTTCACTGGTTTTAAACATCGTTTTACATGGTGTAACAATGTACTATATGGAAGGAGACACTTAGAACCTTATCACAGTGGCATTACTGTTTATAACAAATATTTTTTGACCATTTGCTAATAACTGATTAATACGAAAAAGTACAATCTTAATGAACCCAAACAGGTAACCTTTAATACTAGTGGTCGCCCAGTGGTCGAAATTCGACCATAATTAATTTATCATTCAGTAAGACTATAAACAATTAATATGATAGAAAAAAATATTAATCTATTCTCAATTTGACCACAGACTTTAACAATAAACAAAAGAGTATATATGTGTGTGTGATGTTATTTTTTATTGATTTAATGTATATTTTATGCATAATTAATAAAAATCTTAGCTTTGTGCTCTCTATCTCTATAAGTGTGCGAAATTTCATGATCTCTCTCCGCGCAATTTTCTTAAAAAGGGTTATAAAGTTTTTGCTTCGCGTCATACATTGCTGCCGTGGTCTGGGTGTACTTCGGCGACAACTTTGAAGTAGACCTTGATCAGGTTCGTACGGTCCCTCCAAGGTCACCCTCCACGCAAATGTCACTGGTTTTAAGTACGATGCTGGGACGGCCAGATGATTTCTTAATTTGTACGCCAAAATATGTTATTCGCTAAATTGGTAGGTACTCAATAGCGTACAACTGGTTATCTATTTTTTCGATTATTAATGAACGATTTACTGTATGAGATATTATTATTCAAAATTATATTAAATTTTTGATTTTAGTTTATTTCAATTAAATAAAGTACCTACTATCTACTGTATTCTAATTCAAATTCAAATTACCTTTATTTATGTAGGTTTATTAGAGACTCTTACAGACTCTTATTGTATATCAAATCTACCGTCAGTTCAGAATGATTTCGAGATGAGAAGATCTAACACGAAACTCAGCTCGAATTCTTTTCAAATTAATCTTGTACATGATTACAATAATACAGAGTCATTTACATTCAAATTTGGGAGAATAGAGTGACCACCAGCATATGCTATTGCAAAAAACAAAAAAATCTAATCAGTGTTCGCAACCTGAACAGACCAGTCCCAGAGTATGACGGATGAGCCAGCCATCATTGCACTCAACCATATTAGAGGGGCACATCGACCCGGACCACCACGCCGCCACAAGTTTGAACTTTATAGCGAGCATGACTGTTTCAAGTTACTCCACTAAGATAATTAAATTTATTATATAATAAAATATTTATAAGGTGTCACAGAAGTATTGTTACAATTAGTTTGGTACGTAACATAGCAAATGTGTAGTTTTCGTGTCCATTTCGTTTTCCGTATAAATCTCTTGTTGTATAATCTTACATTAATTAAATGTTACAGATTGAGAAGATAAACAGCTCTTGACAGTGCCGGATTAAGGGTCTAAAGTTACTTTCGTTTCAAAAATTAATTAATTAACGAATGTCGAAAGATATTTCATTTCATATTTATTAATATCGAAATCTCAATGATAACTACCAAATATCACGCTAACCTTTGTGCAGATTAAATTAATTCTTAACGATAACTGCGTTTACACATGAATTGTCACATTATGTTGTCATGTATAAAAAATGGGTCAAATTGAGAAAATCAGTTCAATCAATTTTAAGTATTTCAAAAGTTACTGTAGGTGTATTCTTTTTAAATTGAAACATAATATCCGAAATATATACGTTATTTAATGTGGATCATATGGTCTCCAGAAATTTGTACTTTGTATTGTGCTTAAACATGAATATTATTATATAAATTATATTAACATATTTTTTTTACAAATTATACATAAATAGTCAATTACATCATTCAAAATACACACATTTGTTGTTTTATTACTTTATATATTTTATTATAATTAATATTATTTTCATTATTTGTCATGTCATCCAACATATCCTACAATAGTATCCGTGACTCTAAGGTTACTTTGAAAAAAAATGCTTTCAGCAATAAGGCAGTGTTTTTGTATTTATTGTATTTATACACATATGTTTAGTTTACCCATTAATTGCACCTATCTGCCATCTTTGTATAATGCAAATAAACTTTTAGATAGATAGATAGAATATGCTATCTATCTATCTATTACCTGACTAGTACAGACCTTAATCTGTCTCTGTATTGAAAGCAATCACGGTTTGGAACGGCGATGTCGGGCCGATTGTACGCACTTGCGTCAGCTCGCTCCCGCATTCCTCATTAACAACAGGTTTACTGTGAAAACCGGCCAATTCGTGGAAGCCAATGCGGCAATTTCTCAATTTACTAGACCCTTTCTAAAGCAGCTCTCCTTTTGAGGACGATAGTTGGAAAATGTGAGAA